AATGAAGTTTTATTAATATAAATTTCATATTAATAATGTTAGTATTGTGAGAGTAAAATTATCCAATTAAAAGTTTGACATCAATCAAGTCTTTTTAATATGAGGTCTAAATTAAATATGACTAATATTGTTTTTATATATTATTTTAGGGTTAAAGTAGTCAATCAAAATTTTTTTTTTGATAGTGTACTTTTATTAATAATATAGATATAGATTAGTTGATGTACACGTACATTGCACATGCATAATTTTTACTTTTATTTGAATATTACTTCATTTATGTAATTAAGGTATCTTCATACATAATTAAAATCAATAAAAATGTAAAAAAAATAGTTCAACAAAAATAACCTTATTAGTAGTAGGAAATTCTAGAAACATTAGAAGAAATGTTAGACCTACTAATCAAATCAGTTAGAAATCTTCATGTATGCATCATTCTATTGAAATGTTTATTTATTAGAATTTGAAATAATCAAATGTACAATGTAGATACTGATAGAAACAATTTCTTAGCTTTGGTCTCTTTTGGCTTACAAAAACTAATAAAATTCAATCATTATATAGAACTTAAAAAGAGTTAGAAACTGAGTGTCTTTAGCCACTCCACTTATCTATGCCTTTGTTTGTTTTTATATAAAAAATAAAGAATTTTTAAATCAGTTAAACTGTATAATACTAACAATAGTAAATGAAACATGGATGATAGATGGAGGATCAAATTGACCTCAAAAATCAATTGTAATTGATAGGCACTAAAACTTCGTGCCTAAAACAGGAAAGGAACTTCTGATTGAGGATGCAGTAGATCACTACTTTCCAACATAAGTAAAACTTTTCATACCAGCTCGATTGGAAAAATCGGATGACACTGCAACCAAGTGATTTGATAACTTAAAATTTATACATGTTTGGTGTGGCTTTAGCATATTGAGGGGAGCATAGGAAATTTTTCTACCACATTTGCTCAAAGTTTGTATCTCGATTTCATTAAATGTCATCATAAGTTGCCAAAAAATAACTATTGAAATCTCAGCATTGATTCCATGATTTTTTCTAAGATGAAAAAGAGTAACAATATTTTATTTACTCACTCAATCGAGAGAAATGACCTAGAGATATAAGATCAAGAGAATTTGGAGACTTTCTGTCCAAAAATAATCCTACTATCTTTGCCCTTCCAAGATAGCACAACATCACAAAGCAATTAATTTTCATGTAGGGACAGTTGACACAAAACTCAATAGTTTAAGGCATCTATCTTTCGACAGATGTAGAAATAATAATGAAGATCTTGGTTTTGAAATTTAAGCTTTCAACACAATTAGCTGAGTAATCTCATTATATCATTTTGCAAACTAATAATTGTGGAAAATAATTTGCTTATCTAGAATTATTTGGGGTCTGTAGCATCAAGAGTGGCGTTTGGGAAATGGTTTATGAATTTGGAAGTTATGATTAGTGAACAAGGGTAGGAATTCAACGGTATTGTTTCTGTAGACCCTCAAAGATACATAATCAAGCACACGAGAATCACAAAAAGAATTGATCAAGATCCAAGAAAGAAATGAAACAAAATCACAAGAAAATGTAAGAGCTAAGAATGCAATAAATCGAAACACGCAAATGATTCCAAAGAAGTCTACAATAAAGGAAAACAAAACGCTTGTATTGACGAAGATAATCTATGACTACAACAATAAGAAAAAAAAATAAACAGCAACGAGAACACCGAGAAGTCTTCAACACTTAAAAGAATAAAATAATCCCACTGCTAATAAAATACTACAAAGCATTTAAAAAGATCCAGTGTGACAACACTTCTAAAAAACTTATAATTCCAACACTATTAAAAGATTTGAAAAACAATAAAAAATCGAATAAATAATATTGTGGGACAAATAAACTTGGTTTAATCCCAAGAGCTTCAAATGGAATATAGATCAATGCAAAACTTTCCATGGCAGAGCATATCTCATGGCTTCGTCGAATTTTCATAATTGAGAACCATGCCCTTTCCAAGCATGCAGCATGTCGAGATTGACTCACAAGAATTATCAATGAAGACCATATTCTTGCCATCAACTTGTTCACGAGAACCACCTCCAGGCGTTATGCAAGAAGACATTGAATCCGAAGGTCTCTGTTTTGAGATTGTCAAATGGTATGTGGAGTTAAATATATGGAGTGTTAGAATTTGTAATAGTAGGCCAACCCAACAGCCACAAAAACTGTCATCATTACGAAAATTCCATGTGAATTTATTATTTATTAACTAAAAAAAATAGTGCTTCCATTATTTATTTGCTAAGGCAACCCAACAACCACATAAACTGTGGCCATTATAGACAATATTGTGAATTTATTATTAACTAAAAGAGATAGTGCTGTCATTATTCATTTTGTTAAGGGTAATTTTGTCGTTAAAAAGATTTTCAGTTATTGTGACATTTTGAAGTAGTATAGATATAGATCTAGATAGATATGAATATACGAGAAATGCTTGGCTTCAACGGCTAGTCTTCGTGTAAGTAACTTCAATGTACATAATGGTTAGTTAAGGCTAGAATATACAACATATATATATAGTTATTACCTATAACTCCCCCTAAAGAATTTCAGCAATCAAAAATTAAAATCATTTAAAATCATAATCAAAAAATAAATGTGGGACTGAAATTATTAATATGAATAAATGATAATAAATTTAATTTTAAATCATATATACTAACATATGTCAACCAGATTAAATACACAGGTCAATTTCGGGTTAAGCGAGTTGAACACGAACACTACCCATTAATATTTCGTGTTGATGGGTCATGTCATACACAGGTTTGCGCCAAAAAATAGACAACTCAATCCTATTTATTTGTGTCGTGTCAAAAATTGTCACCCCTACGAATTTATGATGAAATGTGCATGAGTTATAAAGGTGCAAAAAGAAAGTAAGAACTCACCGTGCATTCTATTCACACAATATTTTAAGAAAGTGCCATATTTGAACCTGTTGAGAGATTGCAAATAATGGGAGAGGAGAGTATTGTGTGTACAATTATTTTGGATAGTTAAAATCTAGTTCCTCTCATCTGGAGAATAATTCGTTCAGAAGCATACCGCGATAAACATGTATTGTGATATAGGGTTTCCCTTCTATAGAGATTAAAATAACTTACTACTTGAAGACTTACTTGAATTAATGTATGCCAAATTTCTGATGAAATGTGAATGAGTAATAAAGGTGTGGAAAGAAAATAAGGATTCATTGTGCATTCAATGTTCACAACAATTTAAGAAAGTGTCACATTTGCACATGTTAAGAGATTTAAAATAACAGGAAAAGAGACTGTTGTGTGTACAATTCTTTTGATTAATTTAAATCTAGTTCGTCTCATCTGGAAATTAACTCTTCAAAAGCATACCGCAATAAGCATGTATTGTGATTTAGGGTTTTTCTTCTATAGAGATAAAAATAACTGACTACTTGAAGACTTACATTTATTAGTGTATGCCAAATTTTTGATGAAATGTGAATAAGTAATGAAGAAGTAAAAAAAAGTAAGGAGTCATTGTGCATTAAATACACAACAGTTTAAGAAAATGCCACATTTTCACCTGTCGGGAGATTAAAAATAATAGGAGAGGAGAGTGTTGTGTGTAGAATTCCTTTGATAATTTAGATATGGTTCCTCTCATTTAGAGAATAATTCGTTTGGAAGTATACCATGATAAACATTCTCTTCTACAGAGAAAAAAATGACTTACAACTAGCAAATTTACCTGAATTAATGTATGCTAAATTTCTGATGGGTATAAGTTCTAGACATGTGTATTGGGCCGTAGATCAATGGGCTCCCTAGTTCTCCAACAAAATGATATTAGAGTCGAAGGTTGACAATCCTAGGTAAACTCTCGCGAAGGATTTTAGCGTGCCGATACTGATGATAATTTTTGAGAAAAGTGGTGGGCTCTTGGTATTCAAAGTCATGGAAACACAACTTGAAAAAAGAGTAGGGAAGAAAAAAGTGGTGGGCTCTTGGTATTTGAAGACGTGGAAACTGAACTTGGAAAAAGAGTAGGGCATGGGCCAGAGCACAAGAACTCTTAATAAAATGGTAATACAGTAACTCATAAAGGCCGAAAAAGTTTAGTTCTAAGAAGAGCAGACTCTTGTAAAAGAATAGGTGGACGCAATGCTTGTAGAGAATAGTGGATTAGATTTAAGGGAAAACTAAGCCCGAAGTGATTCACACATGAGGGTGAGATTGTTGGATATTATATATGTGGAAAATCTTACATGGGATAAAAAAATAAGCTAAAGTGTCCTAATATACTACTGTAGGGCTCACACCTATACGATTAAATTTATAGGTGGGTATAAATTACAAATATTTGTATTGGGTCTTAGATAAATGGACTCCCCAGTCCCCCAACACAACGATTGATTACTATTTTAGATACAAAATCTGAAAGAACAACACAATACAATCCACACAAACAAAACAAAATAGAATATAACTCAAAAAGAAAGATACAAGTTATGAATCCTTCCCTTTGGTAAAGATAGGCTCCCTGTATAACCTCGATGTATCTTTCTTTACCTAATATTTCTCTCTCTTTTTTTTAATTCTTAAATTGACAAATAATTAAATGTTGCAAACCCAAAAATGATATGGCTCCACATAACACAACACGATGGTAATACTATACAAATCGATTGACATCGTCTGTATTCACAAATGTAACTCAAAACACATAGAAGAACTCAATCCATCATCATTTGAATGAAGTTGAATCATTCACGAGCAACTATAAGCATTTGTTTCTTGATGTTATCATTTATTCTCTCATCTAACACAGTACAATGTCCAAAAATATTGACATGAATAGAAGCAACACAATTTAAAAGTAATACGATTAACAATGCCCATAGACACAAAAATAACAGGACATGACTCAACTAACCCTCCTACTGCATAATCACCTGCACGAAACTTGAATCATTCACGAGCAACTACAATCACCTGTTTTGCAATGTTCAAGCCATTAAAAAGACCTACAAGAGCCGCAGGGCCGCTCTCAAGGCCTTCAGCAATATCTTCCACATATGTTATATTTCGTTCTCTGATGTAAGGCAGTACAGTATCCAAAAACTTGGAATAGAGGTGATAATAATCGAAAACCTAGAATCCTTGCATTTGAACTCGATTGTAGATGAGATACATCAAGTTGGTTACTCCTTCAGGTTCGTGGATATTGTTGTATTGGGAGATCATTCCACACATAGCAATCCGACCATGAATTTTCATATTGAGGAGTACTGCATCTAGCATCTTTCCCCCAACATTCTCAAAGTAAATGTCAATACCTTCCGGGAAGTACCTGGTGGCAATCAGATATCAATGATATTGTATGGACCAACTAAACATATTAAAAACAAGTCAACATAAACTCGATTCAATACAATAAGAATCCCATACAATACCAAGATTACAAATCTGTTGGGTATGTGTTGAACTAAAAGTTAACAAGACATGTCTTATATACCTTTAAAACACAACACAGCACAACACAACAAGACCCATTGACAATCCTATCAAAAATGTTAAGCTGCAAGCTAGAGGACTACATCACAAAACCAAAATAAACCCCAAAAAGTAGGGTGTCAATCTTGTCGTGTCATTTTTGTATCGTATCACTTTTGGTCGTGTTATTTTTATGTCAAATTATTTTTGGTACGTGTCGGGTTCGTGTCAATATTCGTGTCAATAAAAAATTATTTAATGTCATTAAATACTTATTTTCAATCTATAGTACAATGCTCATTAAATACTTATTTTCAATCTATAGTACTCGTTAATCATGTTATTCATGTCGAATTTTAATTTTACCCATTTATTACTCATGTCAACTAATCTTGTTATTTTTGAATTTTATGTTAGATCGGGTTCGTGTTGATGGATAAAATTGACATCCCACCAAAAAGTGATAATTTCAACTACACCATGCTTCTGTTAATGATAAAACATACCTCTTCAAAGCTGCATCCAGGTCATGTTCTTTCTTATAATTGAAAGCATCATCAAACCCAAACTTGTTCTTCAACAGGTCAACCTTATCCAGAATTTAAAGCCAAAGAAATATGATAATTAGTGTCTAGAATAAAGTCATCCAATGCCCTCTTCCTACTAAATTTTTAACTTTGTGGGTATATTGTTCTTGTCAATTTGAAGGTCTATCACATGTCATGTATATCTTATTGTGAGGTCTAATATTAGATGAAACACACTTTCAATACGAGTGTTACATTAAATTATGTCACGTGATTAGATCTGCATTGTTTCTCCCAGAGTCAAATCATACAAATAACAAAAGACTTCACAAGACAACCAATTACTCCAATTTTTTGGATAAAAAATTGGCCTCTTTAACAATAACTCAGAGTGAGATTGCTCCCACACACTTTATTGTCAATTTGTTTCTTGACACATCATCTTTCATCCATTGAAGTAAAACCCATTAAATACAAGTGGGTCTCTCGGTCATCAATAGTGAATGTCTCACTCATTAATGATGGATGATGTGTAAAGCAAGGAATTAAAGGAAAAGTGTATTGGGGGATAACATTGTTGTAACTTTGTCCAATTAACCATTGAATTTATGTCATTATTCTAATATTCTCTCAAATACTTAAATGGATATAACATTACCCCAAAGCCAAATCCAACATGAACAGGAAATGTCTACATATTAAGGAAAATGCCATTTTTTCTGTGTCTACTAGGAGTAGTTTGTGTGAAATGTGATGGTTAAGGGGGTAATACTATGAAATTAATAAATGTAGTTGAAGTTCAATATGAGAAACGTAGATGGAACAACCTGAGATAGGACAAACATACAATTTTTTGGTTAAGTTAATGAGGGTTAACTCACTTTTTCTTTGCTTCCAGCACTACCAACAACATAGCAACCCATTAGTTTTGCAAATTGCCCAACAACCTGGCCAACTACACCAGATGCTGCAGAAACAAATACTTTCTCTCCTTTCTTTGGAGTACAAATCTCATAAAATCCAACATAAGCAGTCAGACCAGGCATACCTTGAAAGGAAAAAAAAATTCACCAGATATTAGATACATGGTTCAAAATATCAGCTAATACTAATACAGTTCAGTACCTTTTATTCTGATACTATCATATATTTTGGGTAAACCACAAATCTCACGTGACTCGGCCAAATCATCTAAGCCGTCTGAGTCGTCATTATTGAATGTGTGATATCCAAACACACATATATGGAATCAAGATCCCCTCCAATACACTTGATCTCAATTTTACTCAATGGTAGATCATTCATCATTTATAAAGAGAAATCTCACTTATAAATATTATATCTTACTTGAATTTAGGTTAATAACCATTGAAGCAAATTGAGAAAAAAAAATATTGTAATGAATGTTACTTCCACCTATATGCATTCCATGCAAGGAAATTGCATTAGATTGCGATGTGGTTTGTGGTTAATGGCATCTGTTGATAGCAAAGCCTTTTGACTTCAAATCTTCTTAATTTCTCAATGACAACATAAAAGAGGTATCGTTCAACATTTTCGTCTTTTTGAAAACTATTTTGTTTTTTTAAATTTGTAATTTAAATTTGCATCTCAAATCAATAAGGATAATTAGATCAGTGGTTCTCCTCAAAAAAAGTTATTAGGACCCACTGATTCAACCATCCTTGTTGATTTGATATGAGAATTTGGGTTACAAATTCGGATTGTGTAGTATTATTTTGTTTTTTTTAACCATTTGTAGCATTAATCTTTTTTAACCATTAGATAGTTTAGGGGCTTATTGATTCAAAAAAAAAAGACTTAATTGACACACGGTTCATGGTTTGAGGGTTAAATATATAATTTTTTCATGTCTTTAATTGGGTTGCCTAAAATGCCCCTGATAAAGGCACGTGACCAACAACGCTCCACAACCTTCTATTAGAAACCCTAACATAAAGGCTTGATTGAAATAATTAGATAGTTTAGGAGCTTAATTGATACAAGAGTCATAATTTTAGGGTTAAATACATAATTTACTCTATTTTTTTCAAGTGATAAGAAATCTTTTCAAAGTATAATGACATTAAATGCACCCCTAAAAAGTAAACACCAAATATTTATAATTACCCACTAATCATAAATATCAATTAAATTAAGAATCACAATGAAAATCGAAGTTAAAATGTCTGAATTTATGTTTGGTTTCGATTCTAATTCATTCCACTAGATTATTCGTAGGAATTAATTTGCAAATATTTAAACAAGCATACCAAGAAGTCCTACGTAGTAGGAAAGGGGAACATCGGTGTGCTGAATTTTGAAAAGGGTTTCAGGTGACGTAATGAGGGTGTACTCTTCCCATCCTGTTATCCCCCAAACTAATTCACCCCTTTTGAAATCTGGGTGCCCCGAATCCACCACTTTACAAACTCCGTATCCACCCATCACCTGCAAGTCTTAATCGATCAATTAAAAACTAAGAGCAGAGGGAGTCTACCCCACAACACTGCAAACTATTTAACCCTTTTAATCAATAATAAATTAAAGGGAAATGGGTCCCACACAATCCTTGAATTTTTTTGTGGGTCATAAGTTGATTAATAAATTATAGGATACGCATAAAGCCTATTTGGTCTTTAATCTTTTAATTATGTTTATTTGGTACCTAATTTGTATTTAGGTGGTCCAATCTCAAATGTCTGTCAAAAAATCATTAATCCTTCTAATCATGCGTCAATCACATAGAACCAACTAGATAAAAATTAAGAACTTTAAGGACCAAATAGATATAAATTTTAGAACGTTATTGGCATGTGACTAAAGACATTTGAGAATGGACAATATAGCTACAAATTAAAAACTTTAGGACCCAAATACACACAATTGAAAGATTATAGACCAAATAGACATTAAAAGCATACCTTGGAGGCTAAAAGTGCATTTTATCCTAAATTATATTTGACCCCCTCAACCATTGAGTTTTTTCAAATTGTTCTTTCAACTAATTGTATTGGTTTTACATTTCCTCGAAAGAAAATAAACTCCATGTTTTCAAAACGAGAATGTTTACGTAGTAAAATACACTTTTTCAATATCTATAATTGAGATAGTATAAAAATAACAATCATGATTGCTGATGTGCCTTCCGTGAGAAACGTAATGGTTGAAATTTGAAAACGCAATGTGAGACGAGACACAATTGAAAATTTCAAATTATAAATCCAAGAGAGAGAGAGAGAGAGAGAGAGAGAGACATACAGAACCAGGGGTGTAACAAACCATCAAGGTCCCCATGTTTTTGCATGCGAAGACGCATGTAAGGGTCACTAGACAAGTAGTGATTCTTCACTAAAACACCATTTGAGGCTTCAGGAACCTTCAAATGTAAGGTCTTGTCTGTGGTTATGTACTTATCAGATTCCTTGGGAAAACCACTGACATAGTCTCTAAATATCACCTGTTTGTTCCTCACTTCTTCGCCTCCCACCATTGTTATATACTTTTAAGCTTAGCTTTTGATCACTCTCTCTCCAGAACCAAAGCCCTTCTATTTATAGGGGCAATGGAAGGGTATAATGGCAAGGAGAAATACGTCAAATGGGTAAAGGCTAGTAAGTGTATCGGACGAGAGAGGTTTATAGTAGGTTTGTGTGGGGTCACAGTGGATAGAGGTGTTAATTTTTGACCCGAATACTCTAAACAAATCTGAAAATAATACGATTAATTGACACGAATTATAAATTAGTCAAATTAAAATTCGACACGAATAACACGATTAATGGTACTGTAGATAAAAAATAATTATTTAATAAATATTGTAGATAAAAAATAAGAATTTTTAACTTTTTAAATAATATTATATTAGTGAAATGGAACCTTGACACACATCTCCAAAATGAAGTTTCTCCCCTTTTATTCGGTTTTGACGAGCCAGATTCAAGCTAAGTTTGGGCCGTATATGGATTAAGTCCAAATCATTAACGGCAGGTCAGACTTAACTGATGATTTCAATGAAGTCTAAAATTTAAAAATTCAAAAAGAGTCAACGTACGTGAAAAAATAATTATTGAAATAATTATGACTCTAAAATAATGCTTATATCTAATTGTAGCTATTTTTTTAGGTAAACTAGTATCTTGACTCTCACGTCACCATCTTAATTAGGGCAGATCTGAGACACACCTCCTTGAGCATACTCTTTCTCTCATTAATAAAGTTATTCGGCCACCGTTACCGCCTTACGTGGTTTGGTCACTCAGACCCAACCACGTAATCTTTGTCTCTTATTATTAATTATTTTACACTATACACTCGACTGATTTGATAGTACATAGTCGACTTTGTACATCATCAAGTTTAATTACCTAACTGAAAAATTATTTTTTAATATTATACATCTTAATTTACATCAATCACTGATAGGACATTTTCCAAATACTCCAAGATGAAGACATGTGTCCTCGGCATCAATATATTCTTGTTACTGTGATGACGACATGTACTCGTCGGTTCACAAGTCCCTCTTCCCCGAGGTACTGTTCATAGGAATCAATGACACCCAGTACGTTACGTACTGACACGTATCCCTCGGTCGGATATGGGGTACATCGGTCCCTACATGTACCACTCCCTCGGTACCGAGATGTACCCGTTCAGGTTGGCATTTCTACTCCTGTAGAGGCTATTGATGTACAGGTCACTAGCCTAGGATAGGCTAGATTAGCCATCATGACCTCGTCTTACACAATTGGTGTCAGAAGACAGAAGACACAACCAATGGAGAATGGGCACGTGGTATATTGTGTCAGATCAAAGACAAAAAGACCGAGATGCCCTTGCTGACACACGACTTGGGAAAGCAAGCATTTAGTGCACTATTCCCTTGATGAGACATCATTTAATGCAGGAAGACTCGAAAGTGAAAGGTAATAAATGTTCCTGTAACTGGGCATTTATTACATCATTACCGAGAGAAGCTCATTAAACATTCGGCAGCCCAATGATGAAGCATTGGTTGCTCGGGGTCCCAAGCAGTTAAGAGAGAAGACATTCCTCATAGGAATCAGTGCGCACATTGTCCGTATCTAATGATCACCTACTAACCACACTGATAGCAATCATGAGTTTTTGAGGTATAAATACTCCTCATAAAAGGCAAGAAGGAGGACGCAAAAACCTTTTCTCAAACCTATACATAGTGTTTTCTTCTTCCCCTCTCTCAAGGAACTGACATGATCGTCGGAGGGGATATGCCGGAGAACACTCCGGCGCCCTCCTAACTCATTTTTCTCTGTTTCAGGAGCCTCCCTCAGCCTTACTGGACCCTTCCGACGACCCACAAAAGTCACCCATTATCGTTCCAGGCTACCACCAGTCCTCATAGTCAGTTCCAAGCAGTAAGGTTGACCATTCGATTGACTGACTCGTGTTCACCACGGGAGAGATTTGTTCTCGTATTTATATTGTGCAAGATCCTACATGCATAATCTGGCGCCGTCTGTGGGAAACGACTAGTTTTCCTAGTTTCTTCTCTAAAAAGGACAGTGACCATGGTGAATACTCGACACAAGGGGAAAGGTCCTGAGCAAAAATGCCTCAATTTACAAGCTCTTCGTCATGATGGAGGGAAAGGTCACGCTGATGACAACAGAAATGTCTCTATTCAGTCAAGGGGGCTTACTCCTCAAACCAGTATGGGCATCAGGTCAAGAGAATCCGCCCCCTTGGCTCGTCAACCGGCGGAGGTGATCGAAGAAAAGTTTGGGGATCGATTACGACAGTTGAAAAAAGACAATGTGAACGTCCTAAGCCAGGTCAACGAATTCGTCACCTCCGGCGAAGGGTCGAGGGACTCGTTCCCTTCTCGTGGACTCCCTGCCCGAGAAGCAGAAATTGAGGACTTGAGAAATCATTTAAATAACAAGGCTGAAGGCTCCAAGGCCCCGAAACGTCCAAGAGCCAATGAGCACCCCCTCGACGACTATTCCAGGAAGGCAAGGCCTTTAGCCCTGGACAACCTCCGGCGAGGGCTGTCAAGGCGGAGGAAGGGAGACAAGTCCGAGGAGGATTCAACCCTTTCCACGCGACGCCTGGAAAAGGGGAACCCCATCAATAAACTCGGAGACCTCAGAAGACATCCATTTAGGGTGAAAACTGATCTCAGAGCTCGGTTGGAATCCAGGAGAAAGGGCAGGACTATCCAGGATGACGCTGAAGATGAGACCATACAATCGTCTTTTGTCAGGGATATCCGAGAGATGGAGGTACCAAGGAAGTTCGTAGTACCAAGATTTAAAACTTACGATGGGCGATCAGATCCCGAAGCTCACCTCAGGCAGTACAAACAAATGATGTCCCTGTATCATTCGAACCAACAACTCATCTGCCAAGTGTTTTTCTATGAGCTTGGGGGACTCTGCGATGAAGTGGTTCGAGGCTCTTCCCCCCAATAGCATTGGATCATGGAAAGAGTTGACGAGGCAGTTCCTAGCCCGATTTATTACGGGGAGTAAGCGGCCTAAAGACGTTGGATCATTACTGATGCTCAGACGAAGGAAATTTGAGACCCTTCGCCAGTACGCATCCGATACTGGGAAGAGGTTAATGAGGTGCAGGGATGTTTGGAAGTCATGGCAGCAGCATCTTTCAGGCTTGGCTTAGCAAGGGACACGGACCTGTACCGATCCCTGACCAAAAAGACTCCCTCAGATATAAGCGAGCTAATGACCTGGATAAACAAATACTCTAGGATCGAGGACGAAATGGGAAGCAGCAAAGATAGAACCCTCCAACCTAAGAGAAAAGAGAGGGAGCGGGAGGATACTTCTCGAAAGGAGCTGCTACCCCCTTCGGGGGGTCATTCAAAGGTATTCAGACTGTGTTCAAAGAATCCATCTACAAGTTGCTCCACAAGATCAAGCATGAGCCATTCTTCAAGTGGCCGCCCATAATACAGAGCGATCCGTCCACCCGTGATCAAAAGGTCAGGTGTTCCTATCACCGGGATTTCGGCCATCGCACCGAAAGTTGAAGAGTGTACAGGTCTTTCTTGGAAAGGTTGGTCCGGGACGGTTACTTAAAAGAATACATAGAATCTGAGTTAGAAGAGAGACACGCCCCCGCCCCTGCTGGGGAGCTAGACAATGTCATAGACGTGATCCATGTATGTCCACTAGATCGCCCGACGTCCAAGGAACTCGAGTCCGATCTCAAGAGAGTAGCATTTACGAGAAAGATTGCCGAGAGTAATGGGGGGCCGCCCAACAAAAGGATCAGGATTGGTGAGCCCGGCATCACGTTCTCTCACGCAGACTTGGCGGGCGTGGTGACTCCCCTTAACGACGCCCTGATCATTACCCTGAAGATAGGCAAGTTCGACGTCAAGAGGGTGTTGGTGGACTCTGGGAGTTCCTCGGAAGTGATGTACTCAGATATTTTAAAGCGGATGGGTTTCGGTCTCAAGGACCTTACCAAGGTCAAGACGCTTCCCGTCGAATTTAATGGCTCATTTGCCTTGCCTATAGGCAAAATCACATTGTCAGTTGTCACGGGTCCCTTCACCATCAATACGGAGTTTGTGGTGATCGATACGGACTCTCCCTATAATGTGATCATGGGACGAGCATGGTTGCATGTCCTGGGAGCGGTACACTCTACTTATCACCAAAAATTAAAATTTGCTACGCCAAAAGCGATCATGGAGATCCGAGGGGATCAAGCGTCCGCGAAGAACTATTTTTACTCGGCTGTAAGAGCGGGGGTTTTCACCCAAGAGAAGGAGCGCCCTCCGGAAGAGATTGTGGAAAAATAGCAATCACAGTCCGGGTGTCCAAGAATGGATGACCCCCGGATTGACCCAACGGAACGGTCGGTGAAGGACCTCTGAAAGGTGCCCTTGGTGGAGGGAGAAGAGGAAAGGTACTTCTTGGTTGGAACCACGATGCCCACAGCCGAACAGGAGGAGATGATTGACTTCTTGAGGGGAAATGCAGACGTGTTCGCTTGGAACGCAATGGAGATTAAGGGAGTGGATCCCGAAATTATCACCCACAAGCTGCATGTTGACCCAGCGCACAAGCCAGTAAAGCAGAAGCCACGACGCATGGCGCTGCACCACACCCGAGCGGTCAACGAAGAGATCGATAAACTCTTAGAGGCCAATACCATCCGGGAGGTATAGTTCCTGGAATGGCTGTCTAACACGGTCTGCGCGAAGAAAAAGGGGAGAAATGGCGCGTCTGCGTAGACTTCACTGATCTAAACAAGGCATGTCCCAAGGACGACTACCCCCTGCCAAAGGTGGACCAGTTAGTAGATGCCACTGCCGGATATCAACGCATGGACTTCTTGGACGCCCGAGCAGGATATCACCAGATCTCTTTTCAACCCCCATATCAAGAAAAGACGGTGTTTATCACTCCAATGGGAGTTTACTGTTACAAAGTGATGCCGTTTGGGCTGAAGAACGCCGGGACAACATACCAAAGACTG